ACAGCAGCATGCGCTGATGAATGGCACTATTTTATAAACTCTCTCAAATAAAACAAATACATAAAGTTATTTTCTGGAAATTGAAAGACTGTTCATTACGGATAAAAACATTAAAATAGTTAAAACACTTTCGTTTTAAAATACAGTAGGGTCTCGCTTAGCTAAGGTATTGTGGACAGAGAATACCTCGTATCAGGGCGAAGGTGCAACACGTGTGTATTTGCACAGGGGACGGCAAATAACTTGTTTAAAACGTAATGGCTTTTAAAAATTTCAAACGTTAATTTGAGGTTGGCGGGGGATGCAAGATATGCTATTGCACAAAGCGGAAAAATTCCTAAGGCCGGTCTTGCCTCGTATAATCAAAACAAAAAATGTAGGCTAATAGTGTTATTGACAGTTATTATGATAAATTCATTTATAGTGAGAACGGATGTAATTAAATCGATAATTAAACCTAATTAAAATATTTATTTTTTTACAAATAACACTAAAATAATTTCTGTTGTAAATTGATCACTTCAATTTATTACTCATGTTAACTTCTCATTTTAAATAACAGATGGCAGTACAGTAGTTGGTTTAGAAATAGTTCCATAGACTGTTCAAGGACTTTAAACTACAGACTGTTACTTACATTATTTATATTATATAATTTATTATATTATTAAGAGACTTTAGAATATATCTTATATTAAATAAAAACTTCAGAATGGGGGCATTAACTTTACGTTTATATTACAAAAATCGATAGTTTTTAAAATACGTTTTGTACTGTATTGTCAGTCTCCAGTCATTCATACAGTAGGCCTAATATAACGTGTCTGAACTCGTTCAATGAGGTCTAATAAGCTTATTAACTAATGATATCTAGTAAAAATTTAATAATAAAATCAAAAAGTTATGTTTCATTTAATTATTTTTTACTCTTTCCATCCAGTGGGCACTAAGAGAATTTTTTATTTATTTATTGAGACATCGTCATAATGTTCAGCTGCAATTTTTAATATTTTAATTTAAAAAAATCACATGATTTCCAATTCACACCGGGACTTCTGTACATTATTTCAGCATCCTAGGCAATTGCCTACGTTCCTACCATATTATAGTTCCGATATTATATATAAATTCACTGATCTATTATATTGAAAATAAATCACTTTTAAATTCTAGAATTTGAACATTAAATCTTCCTTAATGTTTTGAAATGTGTATGCTAATGTTATGAAGTCATTTTCTTTCGTTGAATAGAAGGGATTGTCAATTTCGAACGTGAATCACACACACACATTATAACGAAAACTGATTAATCTTTTAAAATAATGACTAAGAGAAATGTTAAAATAGATAAAAATTAAACTTTGATATTTATAAATTTAATATTCATGATCGTTATTTAAAATTTTCAAATGTTTTCTTAACAGGAATTGATTAATCATATCCTTATTTAAAGTTAAATAACGATAATGTAAATAAGTTAAAGTTTATATTAATTACTTCAACATTTGGTAAATTGTAAAAAGAAAAGTGAATTAAAACTCTTCTTATATTTTTAATATCATAAAATGGAGATCTACACTATTGGAGATACACACGACCCCCATTATCTACCCACCCTCTATACCTTTAATCACCAAAATTTAACAACATCAATCCCCCTAATACAGAAATCTCCCTGTAAAATTTCAGAAAATTTCGACGAAAAGTACAGGAGTTATTAAGCTTCAAAGAGGGTGAAAGAGTTAGAGGAACACCGAAATTAGGTTTCATTAACAAATGGTCTTATCAAAATCCACTTTAAAATGAATAACTAACAATTAAATAAAACATTTTGTGATGTTTATTTCTATTATAAATATTATTAGCCCGGCTCAGTTTTAGTAGAATCCATACAGTATTAAATTCTCTTAGGTCTACTTTATAATATAACAGTCTTGTTAACAGAGGTTTCATGAATAAACGTCATCAATACGTCATGTATGATGCATTTTCGGAGAGTAACACCACCCCACCGTCCTATTTGGTACTACATGAAAGCTTCTATTAGCGGTACAGGGTGTGTTCATTCTTTTATTTTTATGAGTCACTGTTTTTCTGCCGAGGCGAAAGAGAGCCTGTCTGTCCGTCTGTCCGAACATTTTATATTAATTTTTTAATACATTTATAACGGTAAAATTGCTTTATCATAATTTACAAATAATATTACAGCTACAATTCGATACCATTACTTTATGATTTAATAAAGAGAGGCCCTAATCTTGTGCCTAAGGGTCCCGGAAAGTCTTAAGGCTAATCCGCCACCAAGTATCAAATTAGAGGAATTTTAAGTACGAGCATCCCTTTACACCTACCTATTGATGCTGATGGAAGATTAAAGAAAGGAAATACCAGTAAAGCAGTAAAATTCAATTTGATGCGATGAAATTATTATACAACATTTACTCCTTAATCGTGAATATAGATGATAATAGAAATAAACATAAAAGCTAAATTCCGTATCCTTTAATTAGGACATTAACAACGAAACTACATTATAAACAAGCCAAATATAGTTAAAGTTTACATATCTTATAAAAAGTTGGGTGGTGAATGCTTGTAAACATTTGCCAAAAAATTTACCACCCTTGACTTATAAAGCCACATATTTAATAAAGAATTGGTGTGGCCAAGTATTAACTCTCCTAGCAACAGGAATAAGAAAAAATATAACTAAAAGCATCAAAATTTCTTTAAATTGACACAAATGAACTCGAGTAAATTCATTAACGTCTTTTAGTATTATATATCAAGTAGTGTTAAGATGATTCAGGTAACAAGTATGCAAACAATAGAAAACATACCATCTAATGTTTTCTTTTATTATTTTTTTAAAAAAGAGATAACAAAAAAAGGGGGCACAATACAACAATAATATATTATAATTATTGTATTACACTTGTAAATATTATTTTTGTAAATATTTACATTAAAAAAAAACAATAATAAATAATGTGTCACGTTTTGCGTTAGACAAATTCTTCGCGTGTCATAGATTTTTCTGCCCTTTATTGACACTAATGTAATATTAAATGGGCCATTTTTCAGCATCTTTTAAGCGCAGAAATAAAATATTTCTGGCATCATATCCTAAATCTTTGACACATTAAATTAAAGTATCATTTTTGTATGCTTATAAATTTGTAAATTAGTTATTTGTTTGGTATTAAAAATATAATAAATTCAACGTACGTTAATTAACTAAGTACTGGTTTAATAGGCTGACCATTTTTTTTACCAATAGCATCAAATAATTCCTTTAAAAATGGGTTTTTTGCCATACAAATTCAACAATAGACTTGTACCAATTTAGATGTTTTACACGTTGAATTTTACAGTTTACACCCTTAAAAATATCCAAAAAACTCTCAATATTTTGTCAAGATATACAAAATTCTATGATTTACTGTATAATATTACTAATTTGCATATCAGCGCGTGCTATTAAATACAGTACTGTACAATATGAGACAATGGGAAGATAATTGACAAGTACCACAAATAATACTTTTTTAAATAAATGTCTTCATTATTTATTCGATAACGTTTAATTTATATTTATTCGGGACGGATTTTCGTGTTTACTTCCCCCTACCTTTTGTTTTAGTCATACACAGATCATATATTTGTTATATATTTTGTTATAACAAATATGGTGTACAGTACTGTACTTGATTAATTAAGTTAACAACAGAAACAGGAACCGAATTATAAAAATATAAGCAATATTTAACCTAACCTGTAGTGATATCAGGTGATTAATTTAAGACGCATTACGTTGTCTAAATAGTGTACACTTTTACGTCACATTGTCGTCACTATCCTATTTAGAAAACTGTATGAATGACGTCAAACTGACGTAATATTATATATTATTCGGACGAAACGAATGCACCTTTATTATATTTATAATACATTACGTTCAAGAATATAAAAATCGAAATTAATTAATTTTTAGGGTCGTCGAAAGCTTTGTATGGGCCCTGGGTTTAATGGAATACACCCTTTACCCCCTCAGAGGGACCCTTTCTGTTCTTTTTACTTTCCTGGCTGTTTATATACAATATAACAGAGGGAAAGTCTGGAGATCAGTCAAAAGATGACCCCAAGATTTTTACATTTTTGAATTTAGGACACTTCTAAACGTCGAGAAATGTAAAAAAAAAAACTTGGAGGTAATTTCTGTATGTATATGGGGCACGATTTTGTTCACCCTGTTTGAAGCTTAATAACTCCTATGCTTTTTGTCAAAAATTTCTGAAATTTTGTAGGGAGGTTTGTGTATTAGGGGGATTGATGCTGTTAAATTTTGGTGGTTAAAGGTCTAGCGGGTGGGTAGATAATGGGGGTCGTGTGTATCTCCAGTTGGGTCGGACTTAATGACGATTTTACTGATTATTAGCATTTACAATTTTTATTTTTATTATTATAAAATTCATCCCTACACTCAAAATTAAGCTTTATACCATTTTACAATAGTTAAAAATATAAAAATTTTTTAAATATAATATGATAACAGATGGAGCCACCAAAATTTTAAATATTGCCTAGAAAGTTGAGCAACTCGTTGCTGGTTTATTTTTAACAGAAAATACATGAAATGTTTTTATTTTATTAATAAATAACAAATTATAATAAAGATATTTTATGTTAATTAAATGCTATTTTTATTAATAAAATAACATTTAATTTATAGGGGTAGATAGAAACAAAAAAAAAAAAGGACCCTTATTTTTCTCCGAACACAGGGAAAAATCCCTAGTTTCTTCTTCTCGACTTCCCTGTGTCTAAACGGGGTTTTCCCTTCTGTTTATTATTATTATTAATAAAATTTAATGTAAAAAAAAGAAATTCATTCAAATAATGTAAAGGTCAGGTAACTTCCGACGAATAAATAAATAAAAAAAAACAAGTATAAAATAGAAAAAAAGACGTTTACAAACAGCATTCTAAAGTAAATGGTTGGCTGTTACTAACCAGTTTTAAGAGTGAAACCAGTTCTAATCGAGTTTAGTCACGAAACAAAGTTGGCGCTGTTGTACTGTGTCGTAGTAGATATGAGTTGTATTGTGTGTACTGACTAAACACTGAGTCAACGTGGAGATGGGGAAAGAAATAGACTTGTTGAAATTCGTTAAGTGTAACGACATCGAAAAAGTTCAGGTTAGTTAGTTTTAAATTATATTAAATATTTAAATTAAAAAATAATTAATTAAATAAAAACCCTTAATAGAAAATAGGAGTTTTTATACCGATAAATACAAGTCATTTCGAAGATTTATTTCCTGGAATTTTGGAATTTCTGTTATAAATTATTTTATATTCTTTCTAAGAACAGAAGAAATTTTATACACTCGACTGTATAAAATTTCCGGTGTGAGAAACTCGTATTAATGAATAGAATGCACGTGTATATATCACATTATCGGCGGCAAATAATATTTTAAAAAGTTTGTTGCTGGGCGTGCTTCTTATCTAATGACGATTTCCGGTTGTTGTTTCAATCGTACAACAAATATTTCCAAGTTATTTAAATAATGTAATGAATACTTATATTGTAGAAGGGTAAACATTGTAAAAGTATATCTGTTAAAACTGCGAATGAAAATGGATCTTTCCAGGGAGGTAAACGAATCAAAAATCGTGTTTCTGGATCGAATAACTTAATGCAGTTTTAGGGATCGGTATAGAAATAACTCAAATAATATCGTTTAGTGTATTAGAATTCGTTTTAAGGTGTCATCGTTAACACCTCTACTTAACGTGTTGTTCGGTGATTTCCCTAAAAGTAGTGATTTGTTTTTTTACTGAGTCATTCCAGGAATTTTTCAAGGGCGAGTGCTGGGAGGAGACCCCCTTCCCTCACCACCCTCTCCAATTGTGAATCTTTCCGAATACATGATGGGCCTCGAGAAAAGAGGCCCTTTTAGTACCCATAAGGCAAAAAAATTCAAAATAAAAAGTACAGTACAGTATCTAAATCGATGTATATTAATTAAACTTTATTTCTGATATTGAAACGTATAGAACTGTCTGATACGAAGATGATTAATTAACGGATATTTCAACATACACTTTTTAAACTTTAATCAGTACACACGCACGTACTGTATACCTTAAGGTGTTATCGTCAAACAGCTGCAAGTAAGAATTATCACTGTATTTATTTTTAAAACATGATATCATTTTTGAAGGTATATCAGAATTTAATTAAGTATATTAGCTACGGTATTCATACATTTAATCTCGTGCCTTTATATAAGAAAATATTCATTTCAGTATAAATATACAGTACTTTTAAGTCTTGTTTTCATGGAAAAATTTTATTTCCAGTTTACACTGAGTAAAATTTTTTGATTATTCACTGTTGTAATTATAAATTGTATAAATAATTCCGAATATTTTGCAATGTTAGAAGAGGGTGTTTATTTTATTTTAGATATATTCTCTTTCATTCCTTTGTATAATTATCATCTATACTTTCGATCATTTAACCTGGACTATAACGTGTTAATTACTCAGTACCGAAGTCCAACAAATGTCTGTTACTCTAAACATATTTTTACCGAGTTCATTTTCTACGTTGTCACTTTAAGAAAACGTACAAAATTCTTAAAATTAGCTTAATAAATTCTAAATGTATTCTTTTTTCTATTAAACGATTTAAAGAAAAATAAATGGTCTTTGTTTGGAGGTTGTTTTGCACGTGTTTTTGTTTTAAAAAGTTCCCGAAAAATGGCCTCTGTTTAAAGGTGACCTTTATTGGAACTTCGACTTTATTTTGTTGTTCTATAAAAAATTAACATTTTGTGGTCTATTTTATCAAATAAGGTTACTTGTATAATGTAAATGCAAACTCTTAACCTATACTACACGTTTTAAAGCAAAATAACCTGCAATATTCATGTATCGAATACTGATTTTAAGCGTAACGTGATGACCTCCTTCTTAAGTAAACTATTCATTGAATGACTAATTTATATCGCTCTCCACCTGTGATGATAAATATTACCACAAATTAATGCACAACCACGTTGAAATGACTATATCGTTCTATATATTTGTAATGAAAAGCTGGATTATATTATCCAGTTTATTCTTCACAAAGATACGATGAGTGTAGTGTTCTATAAACTGTAGTATAAATGATACAATTATAAGAAAATTTATTCGATTGCATACTTTATCTCATGTCATGTTACTATGATATTAGATTCTATAGTATAGAAAATTTTAAAAAATGACCGAAGAAAGTAGATGATAACACTTCTGATTTACTTAAAATATTGCCCATTAGTGGCGGTGCGAATACAATTAGGCGGCGTGACATTGCGAGAGTTTGCTTCATTTTTTACTCCCACCCCCTTCTGTTTACAATTCGTCATCACCCCTTCCCCATTTATGCAATCATATGTGCAATAAATGCCAATTAACAATAGAATATTCCAAAATAAATGAATTATTTTGTGTGCGCAAACATTCGGATGACCTTCCCTCCTCCTGTGTTAGCATTCATCAACATCCTCCCCATCTCGATTTCGTCTCAATAAATGCACGCCGCTTTACTGAACATTGGTAGTTAGTTGGTCTTGAGTTCTCTCTGAGCAATAGGATGTCCACGTGTTTTTCATATGTCTAACACCTAAATAGGAGCTAATTTCCCGTAAAGCTCTCCTGTAGGCATACTCTTCTTGGAAAATCGCCATATGTTACGTTGCTTTCTTTTCATCATTCCAATCTGTTCTAAGGTAGGGAGCTAATTACGGCTCACCAAGTTTGGACTATTATGTTTTTCCCAATAAATGACTAAGCCATCGTCTAGAGCAGGAATGGCGAACCTTTTCGAGTCCTTTAAAAATCAGATGATCAGATGATAAATCGAAATCATATGATACATTACGTGTCAGGTGATTTTTCCTACGTGTCATAGATTCACTACCCCTGACCTCGAGTCTAGATGATAGATAGGTGATTATAATGGGACACTATCTTATTTAAAATACTAATAATCATCTTCACAATTGTTTGATGGAGAATTGTTCAGAGTTTACAGTGAAACCTGTCCAAAACGGAACCTGAGTAAAACGGAAATCAGTCTAAATGGAAAAGTTTGTCTGAATGGAGCGATTTTCTATATTTAAAAACAAAACCTGTTCAAAGCGGAAACCTGCCAAATATGAGTTGACCACAATTAAACATTTCCTCTTCAAGGATTTTTACTTTTAAAATTCGCCAATAGGGGAAATATGACGCTGCATCAGACCAAACATATTATACAATACAGACAAGATCTGAGGATAAAGGTTAATTTTGTTGTACTTAGTGATTTGAAGCATCACATGTAAAAGGTTCTATTTACAATTCGAAGAATTATTGTGTTCCTTCTCTATTAAGTTGATATGTTGATACTGTCATTGTTTTTGGGGATAGAAATTGCGTGGGTAATGCGAAACTTACGATCTGCTACTACATTATACTAGTTATTCAATAGATAAAAGAACTTTTCAGTTAATGCCCCATTGGATAAAGTGAACGAACGTTCTACACGAGTTAACAATAGGAATGTTTGAATGTGTACTTCTAGTAGATAAACATGTAAAATTTCTTTAAATTCATTGCTCTGGAAGTTGAGAGATCGAATTTATAGCTAAATTTCTCGTAGAATTCTTTTCTTTATGTTTTGAATGACATACTTATCAAATTTAATAACATATAGATTAATAGAAGTCCAGATGAACCTTCTTCTATAACTTACGTGGTATCTAGTATTTAAATTGTAGAAGCAATGAAGCGCTAATTATGATGGTATAAGTACTGTATATAAATCTCAGTTCTAATTTTCACAAGAATGGTTAGGAATCAATAAAATAATACAGGAAGAGAACTATTATTTTACGGGATATGGAAATTGTTATCGTTTCACTCTTTATTTGCAGCTTGACTAAATGATAATAACTCAAATTTGATATACAAGGATGCAATGTTTTGAGGTATCTTTAGATATTTTTAACTTCCTAACATATTTGGTGTGTTTTTTTTCATTATTTATTTTTTAATGTAAGAGTTTAGCTCTTAATTTTAACTCATTGTGGAATTAGGATTAAAAAATTATAGCCTATATTTTAAATTTTATAATCGATTGGCACTATTTTAGAATTTTTAATCCTAATCCCGTTGAAAATAACATTCGTTAACCTTGACTACACCCATTTTACTTCCTCGTCTGAAACACTCAATTGCTACGCCCCTTGTTTAGATTAATACTATAATATCCTACATTGCTAATATGAAAAGGATATTTTTGGAGGATCCAGCCTTTTTCACCATTTTTTTTTTCCTTTATCGACCGAAAATTTCGTCTATTCATTGTATGCTTTAGTAGTTTAGCTTAACAAATCATTTACGTATAAATGTACTGAACTCAAAATAAGTCGACTTGTTTCCTTAAGTATCTAGAAGTAAACAGAAGTAAATATTTATTAATTAATAGCGAGATTGCGGCCGAAGTTTTCATCTCTAAAACGTGAACGTCGAGCGCCGCAATCTTGTAAGTAGCGCTCGACGTTCGACGTTCACGTTTGACAGATAAAAACTTCGGCCGCAACCTCACTAGTGTCGCGTATGGACTCCTATCTTTTAGTTTTTGTAACTGCAGTTCTGCTAGTTAATTACTTATTTTAGAATGTTTAATAGCTATTCTACCCTTACAAAACCCAACAAACCAACCATAATGTTGGGTTTTGTGAGTACAGAAATTTGTATTTAAATACCCAATGATATAAACTATTAAGCTTCGAATGAAATTTTGAAGATTAAATGGGTTATTTCATTTATCGAGTGCAATAACCTGCGTATCTTTAACGCATCATCCATGATCGGACGAAAAATATAGATCAAAATGATTGATCGAATGATTATTTTATTAATAATAGAGAGGTTGCGGCCGAAGTTCTCATCTCTCAAACGTGAACGCCGAACGTCGAGCGCCGCAATCTTGTAAGCGGTGCTCGACGTTCGACGTTCACGTTTGAGAGATGAAAACTTCGGCCGCAACCTCTCCAGTGTCGACGGATTTAAATGATCAGTAAAAGCAATATTTTAATGCTTTAATAGTTTCTGCATACCAAACTGAAAGAGAAAATGGGACAATTCCCGAATTTTGA